CTGGGATGCCAAGGATCAAACCTGGGTTGGCTGAGTGCAAGGTAAGTGCCCTTGCAAGGCAAGTGTTATGCTATCACTCTGGTCCCTTGTTTTCTTATTGAACTTCAATTTTACTTCATATCTACTTCATACCTTTACTTTGGTCTTGGTGAATGTGGGCCTTTCTTTGATTACGTGCATTATGGAAAATAATGGCATTGACTGTCATAATGGTTTAGTCCTGTTACCACATGCTCATAGATGAAGGGTTGAGAGAAGTACTCGAGCTAAATTCACCTTTCAGGGAGAACTCTAGCTCAGGATGAAATCCGGAGCCTAAATGATCTGGGAGGAAAGCCCAGCATTTGAGAGAGCCAGTTCCCCATCAACCATGCAGTTTGCCGGCATGGACAACAGGGGGCACTCTGCCTCGGGACTCAGCATTTTGTGATCCGAGTTTGGCACTTGGCTGGCATCACACGTATCGGTGCCCCATTTAGCTCTTTTTCTTCTGCAGTCGGTTGCAGGAGGGCTCTGAGGAGATGGCCACGGCCCTGTCCACCTGAGGTCTTCTCTAATAAGGAGGGGGACCTGTCGGTGAGCAGAGGCTGCAGGAGTAACTGCTGCGGCGTCTGTACACAGACCTGTTCTAGCACATTCTCTGTTCTCCTGCTGCGTTTGGAGCAGCCCTTGGCACTGCCCATTTGGGAGGGGCCCGGGCTAACCATGCCGGTAAGTCCCAGTGGCTCACCGTCACCCAGCAGGTCTGGTGTGTGTGGAGCTTTGCACAGCATTACGCTCCCAGCCTGCGGGATGCCGTGATTAGCTCCAGGCTCTGTGGTGCCTGAAAATCATCTCAGCTTTTACGCCAGGGATTTAGTTCTTTGGTTTTATTTTGAAAAATCTGTTCTGGGCTGCAGATGAGGCTCACTGGTAAAGTACGGGCCTCACAGTATGGATGAGGCCCAAATTGGTTCCCCCGTGCTACCATCAGAGGCTGGAGAAGCAGCTCAGAGGTGAGTGCAGGTTGGCATGCGGGAGCCCAAGGTCCATCCCTGGCACCACATGGTCCATGAATGCTTTTGGGAGTAACTTTTGAGCTCTGGGCTGGGAGTAGTCCCCGAGTACTGCTGCGTGTTGTCCCAAATCCCAAACAAACAAATCCAATAAGCCTCAAATCTCTTTATACCTTACACTCATGGTACAGAGTATCAGGATGTATACTTCATTTGGTTGAGTCATCGGCCCACAAACTGCTTGCAAGTTGTTCCTTAAGGCAGACAAAGCCTGTGTGAGCTGTGTTATAAATGAGGTGTCTCTCGCTTACTCCAACAGTTGAACCAGATCTTTTGGCTTGAAAATGTGTGAGTGTGTGGTGGTGGTGGTGGGGGGCGGGGTGGACATGGGAAGGGGGCATACCCAGTGATGCCTAGGAGTAACTGCTGGATCTGTACTCAGTGATTACTCCTGGGAGTGCTCGGGGAATATATAGGCTGCCAAGTATCAAACCTGGTTGACTGCGCGCAAGGCAAGCATCTTACCTGCTACACGATCATCACCTGACACCACCTGAATTTCACAGCCCGCAAGGGCAACACAGGCTCCCTGAAAAAGGTCCAAGATCAAGTGACTTTCTCAAGGTCACATGCAGCTGAACTCAGGGTCCAAACCTGAGTCCCTCTGGGCTCGATGCCAATTAGTGGTGGAAAAGGAGGAAAATCTTCCCTTTTCCTTGGAGACTCATGATAAAGCCATTGAGACCTCTTGGTCTTGGGACACAAGATGTTTCAAGTGAAAGGAGAGACAAAGGGGGCGATAAGGTGAGCCCTAGCCCGAGGAAGTCAATCAGATAGGGAATGGAGCCACCAGCCAAACGTCACTCTGTAAGGCAGTCAAGAGGAGGTGAGAGGCTTCCCAGTGTGCAGTGATGCTTGTGGCTTCTCCTGGGAGTCATGCTGTGTGGAGCTGAGGGCTGGGTCTCCACACGGCAGTGCTGGGTGGGGGCCTGCGCGACAGGGATGGTACTGGGGGTCTAGAGCGGCCCTGCATGTGCTCCGGCCTGAGCTGGCTAACTTTGCAGGCAGTGCCCTGGGGTTCTGGGGAACCATGCTCCGGTGCCAAGGGTCTCAGTCCCAGGATGGCCAGGCCCCATGCTATGGCCTGTGGCTCCAAGGTCACGACACCTCCCTTTTCTGCAAAGGAAGGAGTGACTTAGCTGAGGCCCAGTGTACCCAGGTTGGCCCCAGGCTCCATGCGATGGAGCATGGGGGAGGGGTCTCCCAGGTCACTGCTACTGTCAGGCCTTCCCGTGTGCTATTTCTCTGATGCAAACCCCCACATGTGGTAGACATGGTGGAGGCGGGGGACGACACACAAGATGAGGGGTGGACCTTCCGGTTCTGGCCAAGCGTGGAGGGTCCCAGGCCACTCCAGCAGGGTGGTCCCATCGGCTGTGGGCTGTGGAAAGGAGTCTTTCCTCGGGCAGACATGAGTAGGCTGAAGGTGGGGGGCGGGGAGGTGCTACTCCAGTGGGATTTCTGCTGTTGTTCTGGGTAACGCCAGAGATGCTCACAGCTTACCCCTGGCTCTGAGCTCAGGAATTACTCCTGGTGGGGCTCAGGGGACCACAGAGGATGCTGGGGCAGCACCTGGGATGGCTGTATGCAGGCAAGCCTCCTCCTGATGCACTATTGATGTACCATCACTCCGGCTCCTGGAGTGGGATTTCTGCAGAAACCAAGCATTCCTTTGAGGCGGCATACTGCTTTTATGTAAACAGAAACGGCAGGGGAAATAAATCAGCTTGTCTCCAGCCCTCATGCTGCTCTTCTTCCTTACATGGGTTTCTAGGTGTCCTGCAGGGCCCTGCAACTCGGGACCAGGCCTGGGGAGCTGCACTCAAGTGACCCGGACTCAGAATCACGGTGGAGGGAGTGAAGTTCTGCCACAGACGGTTCTGAAAGCCAGGTATGAGCTGACACTGCAGCCCCCAGGCCTGCCAGCCGGCTCTGCTCACACCCGCACGGAGAGGCCACGCCCGAAGCAGGCGGGAGCAAGTCGGGTCAGGCCAAGCTCTGCTGACCCAGATCCAGCAGGCCTGGGGGGGGGGGCGGGGGAACACCCCACTCCGCCCATAATCAAGGTACTCTTCTCCCCCTTCCTCTTTTGATTGACTTTATATGGGGGGGGGCACATACCTGGTGATACTCAGGGCTTACTCCTGGCTCTGCACTCATTAATCACTTCTAGTGGTTCTCGTGGGATGCTGGAGATGACCCCAGGTCAGCTGTGGACCAGGCAAGCGCCTTACCCACTGTACTACCGCTCTGTTCCTACCTTCCCCTTGGGGAAGTTAAACTCACTGCCTCATCTTTTTTGTCTTGGAGCCACACCTGACGGTGCTCAATGCCTACTCCTGGGTCTATGTTCAGGAACACTCCTGGCAGTGCTTGGAGGACCACGTGGGACGCCAGAGAGGAAACCTGGTTGGCTGTGTGCATGGCAGGTGCCCTCCCCACTGCCCTGGAGCTCCAGCCCATGCTGTTCTTCTTGAGGTCACCTGCATCCGAGCCTAAGAGTGACCTCTGCACCTCTGGGCTCTGGCTCTACTCGGCCTCAGTCCAGGTTCTCCATCCATCCCACGGCCCCGAGCATCTGACACAATGGTGGCCTGGGGAAAGGGGGATTCCCCCAAGGCTGCCACAGGAACCCCTGGGAAACTGGAGACCAAAACCAAGCTTTGTTCTGGTCCCCCCAAGCGGGAAAGCAGGGAGACCACAGTCACAGAGGTGGGATGGGATGTGCAGAACAGAGCCTGGCTTTAGGGTGCGTGGTCAAGCCACCCTCTGCAGTGTCAGCCAAGAGAACAAGTGGCTGATGGGTGGTCTGCGATGTCCACTCACGCAATCACGTGCCAAAGGAAGTGAGCGTTAAGTGGACTTTTCTCTGCTTTAACTTTCTGAACCCAAAGGTTCATGGACAATGCATCAAATAGCAATAAATGCTGAAATTCTAGATTTTAGCAAGACACTTGACAGGATCCTGGGCCAGCCTGAAGATGAGGAGGGAATGTGGACTGGCAGGGAGGTGGGCAGACCAAGATGAGCTGTTCTGAGATCCCATGGGTGGGTTCAGAAACAGCAAGAGATCTTGGGGGAGGTGGTCACAAGGGTATCTTCTACCCCCACTGCATGCTCACGGCTCTTGATTAACAGTCAAGAAACTAAGATACTTGCAGCCTGGAGCCACAGAACAGCAGGAAAGGCACTTGCGTCACATGCAGCCAGCGAGGGTCGGTCCCTGCACCACATCGGGTCCCCTGAGCTCCATCAGGAGTACTCCCCAAGTGTACGGCCAGGAGTAAGTCTTGAGCATCACTGTTGTGGCCCCCAAACCAAAAAAAAGTAAAGAAATAAAAAAGAAAATAAAGACACATGCAGAGTGCCAATGTTCAAGAAGAAAGCATCTAAACTCAATCGATTCAACCTGCCATAGCTGAGGGCGAATGGTGAGTGAGGCAAAGCACAGAATGGACAAACCAGCCTTGTGCGGGATGCCCCGGAATGATGCGCCGACAGCAGCATGGGAGGGTGCGCACAGCAGGGTCCGAGTCAGGGCCTATCCACAGAGGGTCTGCAGGACCAAAAATACTTATTGGATCAGTTGGTCTAAGGATGTTTGATGCCAGGCTGCGCGAGCACCGCCACCTTGGGGTTTTCCTGGGCAAATCTTCCTAAGCCCTGGATCCCACACTGGCAAGGACTGTGTGGCGGACGCTGTTCCTTGGATTTATTGCATTTGGGGGCAGGCCTGAGAACAAGTCCACGTCCTCGACGGTTCTAAAGCCGCATTACCTGAGAGTTCCCTTGGGGGAATGAGGGTGTGTGCGTGCAGGTGTGTACATGGGTGATGTGTGCATGTAAATGTGTTTGTGCATGGATGAGTGTGTGCATGTGTGTGCATGCACATATGTGTGTGCATATATGTGTGTGCGTGCATGTGTGTGTGTGTGTGCGTGTGTGTGTGTGTGTGTGTAGATGAGACAGCACAGTCCAAATGTCATCTGAGATTTGGGTTCGGGCCCTCACAGAACAATTTCAAACAACCTGCTGAAGGTTGTGTGAGATCACTGAGAGCAGACCCGAGAGGAAGAGTTGGCACTCCGCAGAGCCACAGACAGGAGTGCTTGGCTCTGCAGTGGGGTGGGGGGGAGCCGTGGGCACTGGGTGGGCCGTGGGTGGAGCTCGGGCTGCTCAGGCGCCTCCTGCCGCGCCCAGGTGCTCTGGCGTTTGTTCTGTCCCGTTCCCTGTCACTGGTCATCATCCCGCCCATAGTTAATCGTCTGTAGGGCCTGAGCTATGAGTGACGCCAATTCCTGGGTGCCAGCTGCCACCACTCTGCAGGACATGAGGTCGAGGGGTCCGCCTGAGGACAGAGAGGGAGGAGCAGAATGAGTCACCCCAATCATGAAAGTCCCTGGCTGCGCAGATGCTGGAGAGTCAGTGGAAGTGTTCAGTGCTGAGGGGGTGTGGGGTACTAATTTTTAAGAGCAGATTCAGGAAGTTTCTCTTGGGGCCAGAGAGACAGTACAGGAGGTTAGGATGCTTGTCTTGCACACAGTTGAGCCAGGTTCAACCAGGTTCCCCTCATATGGTCCTCTGAGCCCCCCAGGAGTAGGCCCTGAACACAGTCAGGTACGGTCCAAAAACCAAAACAACTTTTACAAAGTTTTCCTTACATCTTCTTTTTGGGAGAGGGAAGTTGTTTTGGGGCCACACCTGGCTGTGCTCAGAGCTTACTCCTGGCTCTGTGCTCAAGGATCACTCTTGGCATGCTTGGGAGTGCATCTGTGGTGTCAAGGTTCAAACCTGGGTTGGCTATCTACGAGCAAGTCCCTCCCTGCTGTACTGTCTCTCTGGTCATGGCTGGTTGCTTTTTAAGTGAATCTAGTTTCCTTTGCCTTGTCACCTAAGGGGGACACCATTATGTTATTTCATTGGTCTTGTGCTTGGGGCCACATGTGGTGTTGGGGGAATCAAACTGGGGTCAGCTGTGTACAGAAGCATGGGTTGGCCCTTGTATCACACACTTGTCCCCTGCCAGGTGTTTAGACCTTTTGCTGTTGTTTCCTAATGCAGTTAGGCCTCTTAGAGAAGGAGGAGGCAATAAGCAAATGATACACGATTTCCTGTCCATGGGAGAGCCACAGTATTTCCAAGGAAACACAGCAAGGAGAGACTAGGATCTGAGAAAGGGCCCTGGCAGGGCGAGAGTCAGCATCAGGCACGAGGCCTTGCACGAGGCCAGCCTCCAGAGGGCCCCAACCCCTCCCCCAATACAGGATTCACCCCACCTTTATGAATTCCTTCCAGGCAGCAACACTTGCTGTGCCCGTGTGCAGGATGTCCCTGGGGGCTGAGGGGTCGGGGGGGGGGGGGGTTGTGCCAGGTACACCCGCCCTTCTGTACCAGGGTCTCCTCTGCAGCACTTCCATCCCGGTGGGGACTGGGGACATTACTGAATAAAAAAAATAAACTTTTTTTTTTTGAAGAGGCGATGCTATTTCTCAAATAGCTTGGGAACCCTCTGCACCTGGTCCCTGTCAACTGGTGGTGTCACTCTTGTCTGCTGTCTGTCCTGACCCTGGCTGGGGTCTGTCTGTCAGCCTGGAGGCAGCAGCAGGTGGGAAGGATGGGAAGGGGAGCGGGCACAGACCCTCGGTGGCTCCAATGCTTTCATGTTGGCTCAGTGGGGGTATCGGTCCTGGTGGGTGACTAGGGGACTCCCCACCAAGACTGGTGGCTGAGGGCCAGAGGGGCTCACCTGAGGTGTCCATCACCACGCCGCCAGCTTCTCTGATGATGACCGTGGCGGCGGCCAGGTCCCAGCAGTGCAACCCGAACTGGTAATAGGCATCCGCTGCCCCAGAGGCCAGGAGGCAGAGCGCCAGGGTGGAGCTGCCAATCACTCGGACCCTGGGGGCGCCAGGAGGACAAAGGAGGACCGGTGACTGTGGCCTGGGAATGGTGGGTGTGGCCCTGCCCAGGCAGCCCCAGCAGCAAGCCAGGAGTGGGCTCCTCCCCAAATATAAACAAATATGGGCCTAAGTGATAGTACAGCAGGTAGGGAGTTTGCCTTGCACATAGCCGACCCAGGTTTGATCCCCGGCATCCCACATGGTCCTCTGAGCACTGCCAGGAGTAATTCCTGAGTGCAGAGCCAGGAGTAACCCCTGAACATCGCCGGGTCTGATCCAAAAAGCCAATAAAAAACAAATATGCAACCAAAAAAAAGAAAAAGTAAGCAAGGCAAACACCCTCCCCGCTGACTTATGGGGGATCCCGGACTTAGTTTTCTGAAAGTCGTCCAGACTCAAGGCTCTCAGCACTGACCCGCTGTGAGGCCGAGAGGGGCGCCTGGGAGTGAGCACATTCCCAGGCAGGTGGTGGGCCAGTGCCCCAGCAGCTGTGGGCAGATTCCAGGCTGGTGCCCCAGAACTGCACAACCTCACCCCTGGTGGTGGACGAAAGCAGTGGCTGGTACCCCCATCCCCACTGCTGTACCCGTGAGCTTTGGCGTGGAGTAACCGCTCCATGTTGCTCAGGAACAGCTTCAGAGTCGTCGGGTCACGCTTGGGACCGATTTCTGTAAGCACCAAGGCCTTTGAGAGATCTGCAAGAGAGGAAAGTCAAATTCTGATGCTAACAGATGAGTCTCAGAGTAAGCGCCACCCTCCCGCTCTCTGTTTTTTAGTTTCTCCAAGAGCCAAGCTGAAGGAGGGGTGGCCCCAAATTTGCTCCTCTTTCCAAGCTGGGGGTTTGTTTTGGGGGCCACTCCCGGTAGTGCTCAGGGATGACTCTTGGTGGTCCAGGGGACTCTGTGTGGGGCTGGGGATGGAACCCCGGCCGTGCAAGGCAAGCACCCCACCCCAGTCCCATCTCTCAGGCATTGTGACATTTGAAATCCTTCCTGGCACTAATACATGTGCTGGTGGGCACAACAGCAAGTCCCTGCCTTCAGAAGCCTGGACCACTCCTCCCCAAGGCTGAAAAGGTCAGGCACCTCCATGGGCAAACAGGGCTGTGCCCATGACAAGGGGTGTGGTGACGCCGTTGATGCGGGCAGCAAGAGAGGGGCAGGGCTGGGTGATATATTTCCCGAAGAAGTATTGAAGCCAAGATGTGATTGAAAGAAGTTGCTTTGTCACTATCCTGAATGCAGGAAGGCCTGAACTCCTGGGAAATACAAATATTAAGCTCCTCCAAAATGCAGAATATGGGGGGACTCAACCCTCAGAAAAGGAAGTGCTTCGAGAGGAAGAAGGGTGGGGGCTGGAGAGATAGTACAGCAGGCTTTCCTTGCATACGACTGACCCAGACTTGATCCCTGACACCCCAAGCACCTATCAGGAGTAATTTCTGGTTGCAGAGCCGGGAGCTGACCATCATGGGGTATGGCCCTGAAGCAAAAGACAGAAGAGGGCTGGAGATGACCAAAGGCTGCTTCTCTTCTTCCACTGACCCCCCGGCCCCCGGAGGGAATCCCAGGGGACCACTCTGTCCCGGGGAGCCACTTCCCCCATCTCCCAATAACACGGCTGAGACTCTGCTAAGCAAACCCCAGCCCCATGGGGCCCCAAACGGAGAGGGTGTGTTTCCGGGAGTTTGGTGGGGGAGACACTTCTGCAGGAAAGGGGCACAGGTGGTGCTCAGAAGACTTGGATTTCAAGATTTAAGGGTAGAATTTGTTCGTTTTTATTGGGGACACACACACACACACACACACACACACACACACACCCAGCAGTGCTCAGGGCTTACTCTTGGCTCTGTGCTCAGTGATCCCTCCTGGCAGGGCTCAGGGGACCCTATGTGATGCTAAGGTCAGAATTTAACTCCTGGAAGTATCTCTCTGGTCCTTGTGAGCAGAATGCTTGAGTTAAGCAGTTTGGTTGGATGGCCTAAGCATTTAATTGCTCTGCCCACCAGCACATTTATTAGGAAATTGTGAATTATAAATCTTTTCATTGAAACTGCTCTCTAGAGGGATGACATTGTGCAGAGGCTTGGTGGGAGGCATGACTTCCTACTACATTATACCATGTTTTAAAAAAAGAATTGGACAGTGTGCAGATTATGTTAGCCAGGGGGCACGGGGGGAGAGGGGGAGGATGAGAAGTCCCAGGAGAGGCCAGTGGTGGGGAGGGAAGCAGGGACCCTACCGCCTTCTTAGTTCCTTATTTCAGATCTTACACTCCCACTCAGAGTCACCACAGCCACTTGGGAAATAGTTTGTGGTTAATCTGTTACCTGCTCTTTTGCTTGTAATGGTGTGTCACGAACACCTTCCACTAGCTTCCATATCCTCATTGACCAACCCAACTCTCGTCCACTCAGGGAAGGGCTGTCCATAGCAGCCCCCACCCCCTACACCCCACACAAACATTTGAAGTTCCTGCTCACCCAAACAATGTGGGTTCGCTTTCCATGCAGCACTGGGCTATGGTGTTAACGTTATTTTCAGGCCAAGAACAACAGAAGTGAGCTCTCTGAATCAAGAATAAGTACATTTTTGAGAGACTCACAAATAAATCTTGGAAGAGATCAACAAGCTGCAAAGATCCCTCCAGACCCCAGGTCAGGCTGAACCTCATATCTGGGCACACCAGAGGAGGGGGGCGGGTGAGTACCCCCACCTGCCCCTCAGAGCCCCAGCAGTTGAAAACCTCCAGAACCCAATTGCCGCCATGCTCACAGCCGATCTCCACAGGCTCAGATGAGCCTCATCCATGAATGAATCTACTGAGAAACTCAGGTATGAGGGTTTTTGTGGATGAAATCTCCAGGCTCACACGGAGTTGGGAATGGGCCCCTCCCCTCCTCCTCCCTGTGCTTTAGGAGCTTGGCAGTTACGCCCACGAAGTGCCTCTGGCACCATACAAGCTCATTAACTGATATCTCATACTCTACACCACTGATGCACCAGGAGTAAGTAGCCCACGTTGGACAGGAGAGAAGGTGAAGGCAACCAATCTCAATTTAAAAAATCTTAGCACAAAAGGTTCAACCTGTAGCAACTTGTTAGTAATCTCTTATAAAAGGGCTCGATGGCTCCAGGGGTGAGATACAACAATACTCACATACTTTCTTCTAAGGAAACCCTTTTTGACCATTTTTAGAGAATTATTCATAACAACCAATACAAAATAAATTATTTAGGGCCTGCTATTGGGGCAAGCTTGGGTGGTGGTTGGGAAAATTTGAAATAATGGTGGTGGGATTGGTGTTGGAGTATTGAATGTAATAAACTATTGTGATTTATTTATTAAGATTTTTTTCTAAATTGCCCACCCAAATATGTTGTACCAGTTTTTTTTTTCTTTTTGGGGGGTGGTGGTTGGACAACCCCAGCAGTATTCAGGGCTTACTTCTGGTTCTGCACTCAGGAATCTTTCTGAAGATGATTGGGGAACTGTATGGCGTGCTGGGGACTGGGTCAGGTCTGCTGTGTGCAAGGCAAATGCAGACCCACAAACACACACTAGATATGATGCTGGACTATCGAAGTCCATAACAGGTATCCGTTTCTCCAGGATAAATACTTTCAGAGTGATTTTCTCAGACGCTTAAGGTCAAGAGAATAATCTACCTCTCCAGGACATTTCCTAGAGCCAAGATCTCAGCTGCCCTGGAGAGGTATCAGGGGGACAAACAAGGACTCCCCACAGGGGAGAGAAAGTCAGATGATTCCCATGGGAGAGAAGCACCTGCTTTCCATCCAGTTCATGAGATGGGGTCTCTTGGTCCCAGGACCAGCCCAGTTGGGCCTGTGGGAGGAATAGGGGCTGCAAGACGAGACCAGGGCGGTCTCCAAGCAGTAGCCTGGAGGAGCAGCTCAGCACTATCAATGAGAACTGCTCACCTTCAAACAGCTCATTTCTTATTTTATTTTCACATCAATAAATTACTTTAGAATAACACACTATAACAAAGGAGGGTTTAGTACTTCTGAGACTCCAGGGAAAGGTTGGTTTGGGGTCAGGGTGTGGCTCAGCAGTAGCGCACAGGCCCTGTCCGGGAGGTTCTGGTTTAATTCCTGGTCCTGCACACACATAAAAACAATCACATCAGAAACCTGTGTAACAGCCACCTAGCTTTTTGTTTGTTAGTTTTGGTTTTAAAAAGTTTTTGGCCTCCAAGCCATGGAGTAAACCTCCTGGTACTTATCTCGGCTATTCTTCGGTGTTAGTCTCCTGTTTTGTTACTTTATGTTCCCCAGATGAATGCGATCTTTCTATGTCTGTCCCTCTCTTTCTGACTCATTTCGCTTAGCATGATACTTTCCATGTAGTACCACTTGTATGTTAATTTCATGACTTCATCTTTTCTAACATAGTACTCCACTGTGTAGATGTACCAAAGAATGGGCACTGGCGGAGGGATGGGTACTCGATCATTGTATAACTGAAACCCAAGCACAAAAATTTGTAAGTCTACAACTGTACCTCAAGGTGTTTCACTAATAAAAAAAATTTTTTTTTCTTTTTGGGTCACACCTGGTGATGCACAGGGGTTACTCCCTGGTTCTGCACTCAAGAATTACTCCTGGCAGTGCTCAGAGGACCATATGATATCTGGGAACCGAACCCAGGTGGGCTGCAATGCAAGGCAAACACCCTACCCACTGTGCTATCAGCCCCTCACTAATAAAAATTTTTTTTAAAAGTTTTGGGGTATCTAGAGTGATAGCACAGAGGGTAGGGTATTTGCCTTGCATGTGGCTGACCTGGGTTCGATTCCCAGCATCCCAAATGGTCCCCACAGAACCGCCAGGAGTAATTCCTGAGTGCATAAGCCGGGAGTAATCCTTGTGTTTGGGTGTGTCCCAGGTAAAGGTAAGGTAAGGTAAAGGCCCTCCCGTTGATTGTCGATTTGCTTGAGCGGGCCCAGTAACGTCTCCATTGGAGACTTTGTTGTTACTGTGTCTGGCATATCAACTACTCTCGGTAGCTTGCCGGGCTCTCCGAGAGGGGCGGAGGAATCGAACTCGGGTTGGCCATGTTGGCCGCTTGTAAGGCGAATGCCCTACCCGCTGTGCTATCGCTCAAACAGCCAAAAAAAAAAGTTTTGGGGTCACCCCTAGTGATACTCAGAGTTCACCACTGGCTTGGAATCACTCCTGCAGTGTTTGGGAAAATGGATGGGGTGGTCCTGGGGATCGAACCTGGGTAGGCAGCGCACAAGGCAAGTTCCCTCTCTACTGTGCTATCTCTCCTGCCCCCAAAATCATCATGTTTTGAATCTCTCCAGATCTCTGAAACAAAGAGCAAAAAAACAAAATGAAGCATTCTATCCACAAGGCTCACCGACGCCAGAAACACAAGCAGACGGGGCCAGTCTCCACAGCTACAAGGCGGGCTGCACCGGGAGGCAGAGGAAAGCAGGCCGAGCATGTGGTGGAACTGAAACAGTCTTCAGATCCCCAGCGGCCACTCCCCGAGATCCGGGAGCCCAGTGTGAGGATCCACACACATTGACAGGTGGTCCCGGGCCAGTGGGGGGCTAAGCATGGGCTCAGGGACAGAACACATCTGCCTGTCTAGAACTGACCTGGTGGCCTGTTGGGGTAGGACCCTGCCGGGAAGACAAGCTACTCATGAGGAATAAATTCCA